TAGAAGAGCTCCCCGATGAAGCCGACCCTCTGGTCTGCCAACATTTCCCACTTCCACTAAGATGTGCTCAGTCACAAGTTGCATTTCTCAAAACTTTAACACTGAAAACGCTACGGAGCTTCATCCCACACCTCCCGAGAGTACCCACAACTGTTGAAACTCACACGCGTTCCTGTTTTCTGCTAAAAGCCACTGCGGGCTCTTGAAGCATCTCACACCCACCAGCGACCTCTTCTCCCCCTCTTCTCACCTAATCAATGTGTTGACCTTGGCCACATCGATATCGTACAGCTTCTTGACAGCCTGTTTGATCTGGTGCTTGTTTGCCTTGACATCGACGATGAACACCAGAGTATTGTTATCCTCTATCTTCTTCATCGCCGACTCTGTGGTCAAAGGGAACTTGATAATGGCGTAATGGTCCAGCCTGCAGGGGAGAGACACCGTGGTTAAAGGCTGGCAGACACCATCGATGCACTTCAGGGGCTTTCATAATACCACGGCTACCATCTAAGAAAGTCTGGGGTGCATCAGTAGCCAGAAAAGTTCTAATCACAAACTCTCAGGCTTTGGTCGCTTGAAATCATCACCTGCACCCCAAACACCCCCCCCAGCGCAGCACCCTGGCAAGGTCTCACCCCGGGACCTGCAGCGGGGCACAGGTCCCCAACGCCAGCCCACGCACAGGGCTGCTCCCACCCCGCAAGCCCTGCAGCAGGGCAGAGCCCAACACCCCACACGTACTTGTTTCTCCGTGGGGCGCTCTTCCGGGGGTACTTGGGCTGCCGCCGCAGTCGCAGGGTTTTGGGCCTGCGGAAGGTGGGCGATGTGCGGATCTTCTTCTTCTTGTGGCTGTGGACCCCCTTCAGGACGGCCTTCTTGGCCTTCAACGCCTTAGCCTTTGCCTCTGTCTTCGGAGGCACAGCTATGACGACAGCTCAGTCAGCACAACCAGGATCTGTAGCACCAGTATATGCTCCCCTGCCTGCCCTAACGGGCCATGGCTTACCCTGTCACGCAACTCAATGAACGGGACCTCTCCAAGCGGCCCATGCTCCCTCATCCAACCAAGACCAACCCCAAAACGCCCAACGGGGCTGAAGTTTCCCCCTTCCCCCCCCAAGAAACCAGTTTCCCATCGCACCAGCGGACAGCGGCTTTCATTCCCTCCCCACCTCCCTCACCCCCCACAGACCCCAGGAGTCCCAGCAC